GTAGACTTTTTGAAGCATGGCGTGTTGGAGAACGGTTTTTATTTGCTCTTTGATGATCAAGGGCAGAGATATTTGGCTTACTGTGATCTCGCATCTGAACCAGGTGCAGCCTGGACTTTAGTCATGTCCTGGTCCCGCACATTGAAGAACTTGCCTCAGTTTCAAAGCAAGTCATTTACGCAGGATGCTCCAGTCAACGAGAATACCCCAAATTGGTACTCATACCGCCAGAATCTGGCTCGGATGAAAAACACCCGCAGTCGCTCCACTCACTGGCGAGCTACTTGCAGCTTCAACCAGGTTGAAGCGATTGATTACAGAGATTACATCAGGGGAAAGTTTAGAGATTTTGACATCATGGCTTTTTCAGGAAAAGGTGTGTGTTTCCCAGTTGAATACGTGAATATTCGAGGACATGCCGCTGGAAACGGCACTACAGTACCGTTTTGGCAGTTTCAGAACGGCAACTTTCTTCACACGGACAGCTCGTTTACCGGCTGTGAGTTCAAGCCGAAACTCAAAGCTGTTCCCAGTGAAGACAACTTTGGTTTGTACAATGATGTTAATGTAAAATTTCGTTGCACAGCAGGGAATTACTCAACGACACAGTGGTGGTTTGGTGGTTATCTGACCAAGTAGCGGTTGAATTATTCATGAATTATTCATGATCCTATAAACCAAAACTTAACCCTTTAAGCCTTAAGATTGATGAGCATCAATTTTCTCCTAGTAATTTCTCCATGCTTTATAAAACAGAGTGGCCTCGATAATTAAAGACATGGCCACCTAAGGTAATATTATATTGATATTTTAACAAATTCTCCTCTTAACTTCTACAAAGTATTACATTCGGACATGCAGTATCTTTCATTTTGTTTGTGATTTCCAACTGCTGTTTATAACTGAACGTAAGAGCACCTTTCGAAAGAAAGGTTTTCTGTCACTTAGAAAGTTAGAAAAAAAACGGATAGTTTTTAGGAGTTCCGGACGGTCCGTCGATAATTAGTTACTCTCAGTGCAGGCTGAAAATAATGTGGTCAAGGAGAAAATAGCTATTAATTTTGTAGCCACAGTTCATCGTTAAAATGGGTCTGACTTTTTTGCTTAAGGAGAGGGTCCCAGATAATTTTTTCGGGATCCGGGATTTCCCTAATTTGCTCGGGATTGAGGATTTTAAAGCAAAATCAATGCGAGATTCGGGAATGAAAGTATGCGCGGTAGGTGGGATGCCAAAAATGACCTTCGGGATTCCGGGATTGCACGAAATTTGGGGTCGGGATTACGGGATTGAAGAACCCTATGGGGGACCCTCTATGGAGTCAGGGGGCTCCACTTGGTACTTGTCTCGGTCCCGAAAAAGCCATGGGAAGCCTCTGTGCCTGTGAAATGTTTATCACGTTTGTTGACATGATTAGTCCCTGCTTGTGAGTGTAAAAGTCAGTGTAATTTAAACAAAATATTAATCTGTTTTAAATTTTTAAATCAAGAGGGTAGGTTTCTGTAGCAATCATTTGTTAAACTACCACAATTACAGTTACTATTAAAGTATGATTCAAGACAATACAGTACCCTATTTAAACACAGAAGAAAGAAAAAATGTTGCGCTGTTGTTAACTTTGCGTTCTATTAAACGCATCGAAGATTTAAACAAAAATTAAATGAATAAAAAGCTTAGATGTTTGAACGTGGGCATATTATCACTGGCAACAATGCAGAGCCGCAATTAACACTGAAAGGGGGAATAAAAAGTTTGCAATGCAACATTAACGCCCCGGGGCGTTATTCTTGCATTGCTAACTAACGGCGTCCTTGATATTGGGTCTGTCTCCAGCCAAGGCTGTTTTTCCTCCAGGGTAGGCCTTTGTACATNTATTTAAACACAGAAGAAAGAAAAAATGTTGCGCTGTTGTTAACTTTGCGTTCTATTAAACGCATCGAAGATTTAAACAAAAATTAAATGAATAAAAAGCTTAGATGTTTGAACGTGGGCATATTATCACTGGCAACAATGCAGAGCCGCAATTAACACTGAAAGGGGGAATAAAAAGTTTGCAATGCAACATTAACGCCCCGGGGCGTTATTCTTGCATTGCTAACTAACGGCGTCCTTGATATTGGGTCTGTCTCCAGCCAAGGCTGTTTTTCCTCCAGGGTAGGCCTTTGTACATAATTTTTTTGTTTCCCCACTAAAATGCCCCACCTTAATGCTCCTTTTCCCCACTAAAATGCTCGGTAATCCCCCAAAAAAGTCACTAAAATGCTTCAGTTAATAATGCTCATCATAGAGAGGCCTTTTTTTTTATTTATTCTAAACATTTAAGGGGGTTTAAGGCTAACAGAAGTTGTATGACAACAATTTATACAAATAAATAGTTTCAATATAGCAAAAAAGATCATCTACAAGGCTGTATTAAGGTGAAATTTGAATACTCTTTTTGAATTATTTTTAAAGTTGTTATATCTCTTCAAAAATGTTTCAATTTTTATTTTTTGAGAGAAAAAAACCTAATTTTCCGGAAAAATGCCACTTAAATGCTCTAATAATTTTTAATGTTTTTGCCTCACTAAAATGCTCAAAAAACTGCTAGCATAATGTACAAAGGCCTACTCCAGGGAGGAAAAGAGAGAACCCTCCGAACGACGTTGAAGTAAGGAGGAAATATGTGTACACGAAAAGGTGCTTTTGAAAACATTCATGCTGTTCGAAACAGCAAATTATATTTATTACAAGTGAAAGAAAGTTATCTCTTGACAAAACAAGGAAGTATTACGAGGAAGCTATATCGATTTTGCTCATACCCAAACCTTCGCTACTGAAGGTGACGTTACACAGGACGATTCGCAACGACGATTTTTAACGCATCACAGCGTTGCAATGTTGGAACAATGTTGTAACTATTTACAGCAATGTCGCAGCAATGTTGCAACGCTGTGTTGCGCTAAAATCGTCGTTGCTAATCATCCCGTGTGACATCACCTTAAAGGAGGCACGGTGGAGGAAATATAGAACTCTTAACTTTTACACCCCCATGATGACCCAGAAAGTGGTAATGAACAACACAATTTGACTGAAAATGTCTTGATGAGATCAGTGAGGGCATTGACATGTCATCCAATCTTTTATCGTGAGGCTGGAGTAATGCCTTTGTCTTAGGTCTATTCAATCAACTAGTCACAATGCTCATAACACGCACTTCGCGGAAAGTTTTGCGCAGCTAATAAAAGGCCTCCCTGTATTGAGCTAGGTGCTTACTGCTTCTCTCGATGGGTTCGTTTCGTCGACATTTGAATCTAGTCAGTTTTAAAATGTCTGCATTTCAAGAGAAAAGATGGAGTATCTGTCACAGTGGGAACACGTGACATAGGCATTTTCTTCCGCGTACAAAATCCGAGAACTTTACTAATAAACGAATACTTCCGCCCATCCCCAAGCGATGGAGGGTATCCAATTCACATGATCTGCTGGTCACTCTCGGATCATTCGCCTGGTTAGTGCTCAGTTGAATATGGCGGAAGCTCCAGCAAATTTATCCCTTGGTGGTTACGATGAGGACTTTGTTAACGCACTGGAAGACGATTTGCAATGTGCAATCTGTCAGTTAGCATTGAAAAATCCAATGCTAACGAAATGTGGTCACAGATTCTGCAGACAGTGTCTTGACGAGCACTTTAAGAGGTATTTCATTTGGCCGTATGAACGATTTGTTGTGATTTCTATTTGAACCTAATTGTCTGATCGTGCGAATGGTTAATGCCAAAGTTCTTAAACATATTGCCGGTAATACATTAAGAAGATTTAAAGATGTTTATAGAAGATCCATCCCTGGGCCCTCAAAAGGATTGTGTTCATGTAATTTGGGGTCTGTCCTCAATACCCTTTAAAACGAGACATGTTTGATTAAAGTTATAGATCTCAGACGTCCTTGTTAATTAAAGGAAGGAAGGAAGAATTATCTCAGTTATAGCACTTGTTTCTTGCAGGCCAAGAAAAGCATTATCTGTCCCCTGGTGGTTCATGTTTTCAGTTCTATTTAGAGTAGAACGGTAGTGAATGTCTTGATATGTGAAACCTTCTGAGACAAAACGCAATAGGAGGTGGGGGGTAAAAAAGCAAGGTTGTCGTAAGATGCTTCCTATAGATACAACATTTTTGTTAAGAATATACTTCATTACTAGTTTTAGCAGCGTTATTTTCTTTAAGCTAGTGATGGCAAAGCTTGTCGTAGTTTTTACTCAATTTTTGCACATAGGTGAGGGTTCAATTTATTCACTATTTGTTTCGCTGCTGGGATATAAACAGGAACACGAATGACCTAGCTTTTCCTGTCAACGTTCAAATATTCTAAGCATAGCATTTGTTTGCTTGTTTTGTTTTAGTAAACGTTTGGGCCTATCTTAATTAAACTTTGATCTCTACCAGTACTGAAGACGCACCGAGTGAAAGCCATGTGTAAAAGCTACCGTATATTTGTCCTGACGGCCTTAAAGTGAAAGAGTTGATAGAAATGAAAAGTGCAACATGTTTGCACAAATTAATTTCGAGAACTAAGGGAAGACATGCAACCTTTTCTAAATGCATTCCCTGCTGTTTCCCACAAAACATCATTAAAGTGATGTATTATATTCATTCAACTTATTTCTGCTCGTTTCTGAAGATTTGTTTCTCTTTTTTTAAACAGTCAACAAAGTGCTGGGGGCCGGTTTACTTGTCCCGTTGATAGAGGCAATCTCATACGAAACAGAGTAAGTGAATTCAGGTTTTGTTGGCTTAAAATTTCTCAGCCAAATGTAAGTATCAGCTGCCGTATGCAAGAAAAGGGGTTTTAGCAGATTAAGGTATCATTTTCCTTGCACTTATCCCGCTCTCTTGTCTGCTTTCCTTTGAGTAACTGTCAAACGATTCTTGGATACAGATAGGCACCTCTTAATCTATCTTAAGGAGAGAAAATGACTTGGCATCTTTAAATAGTATATATGGGAAAAAAGTAGTCAGTTTTGGTGAGTTATGTTCATAGTTGGTAGAGGAGACTGCTAATTATGAAAGCCGGCAAACATCAACGGTGCTGGAGTTTATATTGAGAACTCCCTGTGCAAAATCTTTTGTTTTTGTTCATAGGCTAGCTGTGACTGAATAGATTAATGCCACGTCCTCAGTCAGGTCAATAAGATCGAAATGATACGAAAGTTATCGAATGTTGTGCACACTCAAGTCCAAAAAAACTAACAAAAGCATTTAACAAGGACTAAACTCAGGTGGACGTCATAAACATTTCACTTTATTACATTTTATGATTAATCATTCTGTAGGACCTTTTTCCAGATAGAGCAACAGAACGAAAGATTCTCTCATTTTCTGTCCGTTGCCCAAGTGAAGGATGTCAGTGGAGTGGCGAACTGAGGGCCAAAGATGTAAGAGGGATCATTTTAATTTGTATTACGCCAAAGTAAATACAGTGAGAAAAATGTGAGATACAATACAAGGTCAACTTAGGTAGTACTAGCACTGGGCTCCCTGATCAACAAGAAATTCAGTGCAATACATGTAAACTAAGAGCACAACATGCGAATCGCACTAAAACGCCAGAGATTTTGGTACCCCACAAATACTAAACAACCCTACGCTCAAAAGCTAGTAACGT